TTTCTCCTCGTCTACTTCACCTCATCTTCAATTATGATGGAGTGTCAGTAATTTAAATCATTATTGTCTTAAAAAGTCTAAAAGTTTTTGAGGCCTTTGTAAAGTTTGAAAAGTTAAATGTTTTTAAGTTCGACCATGAACCTAAAACTAAAGAATATCGAGTGATGAAGCATCTGTCAGATAATAAATGAATCAGCTGATTGTTTGTCTCTGTTTAACAGCAAAGTGTTTGAGTTGATGTTTGTTGAAACTTGTTACCCATCAGGCAGGTTTCCACCCTCCTCTTCCTCCTCTTCCTCCTCCTCCTCGGTTCAGACTCCGTTCATCTGCTGCTCACGTTCAGAAGCAGGAAGCCAACAAAAGTTTGGCGCCGCTCTGCACGCGTGTTGTGCGTGCGGCCTGTAGGAGGCAGTTAGTGGATCCTCCGGTGGAGTTGTGTCTCCGGGGAGGAGGACGCTGCTGACCCTCGGTGCTGCGACTCCAGGGCGGTGACGCTGAAGCGTGGGGGGACAGTCACTGCAGGCTCTGTCCAACGCCTTCAGCCAAATGGATGGCTGCCTGTCCCGCCACACACTCCCTGTCTGAAACACACACACACACACACACACACACACACACACACACACACACACACACAGTCGTTTTTTCCTTTATGGGCCTGTTGCCCAACGCCACCTTTGGGCCCAATTACCAAGTTGTTTCCATCACTTGGACCAGTAGCCGGTTCCCCTCGGTAAAGTTACTAATGAGGTTCGGGCTCGCGACCGCTCGTCTCTCAATCTGTCTGCTGACCTTGCCCTTCTGTCTCTCTGGCAAACGCAGGGAGACAGGAAGCCCCCCATCCTGGCAACGGGACGGCCACCGGGAAGGACGCCACGTTTTGCCCCACCGGTGTTCACAGCACAAACCCAAGCCAGCGCCTCGCCGCGCCTTCAGGCGCTAAGAGAAACTTGTTATTTCCAAGTGACAATGGGAGAAAAAAGCAGCTCATGTGTCGGGGACGGTAATTGAATCAAAGTGTGAAGTTTTGGCTGGAAACCGGAGGCGTCCGCTGACAACAACACATGTCCGCCAGTAGGCCGCCAGTCATGTGACGCTCCGCTGTGAACGTTGTTGTACGGTGTGAGGGAGGCCAGCCAGCAGAGAGCTGACAGATGGACGTGGCCTATATTTCATTTATGTAGGACACACAAGTTCCTCATTTTTAGTCCAACTCTTCACTCTAACATCGAGATAAGACAAAAATCTGACTTTCACAATAAAAGTTGTCAATAAAATGAATAATTTTCCGCTAAGCTACAGCTAAAGATTCAAAGATCTACTCTATATTTATTTATTTGTCCAAATCTTTCTTATCATACATTTGACCTCATGAAAAGCAAAGATATATTTTAGTTCTTTATTCCACTGACATGGTTGAAGTCAATATTAATTGATGAGGATATTTTTTCAATTTTAATAAATATTGATATCCCAAAAATCTGCAAAATGTTCTGATGCAGAATTATTGTATTTATGTAGTTAAATCTGGATATCGTGACGTGGTCGCCTCAGTTCCACTGAAGAAGCAGTAAATAATATTATAAAACCGGATTTCACTTACATTTGAAGTCGTTACCACATCACATTGATTTATTGCTTTTATAATTGCGACCTTCTTCGTAAAGAGCATTGGGATGATGTATATTATGATGTGGTGGTTACGATTTACACTTATGTATCTTGAATATTGAATAATTATAATTCTACGATGTGAAGTTGATTCTTGTTCAGATTTCGTCTCAGTGTCGCTCCTGTTTCAACACTCTGTGTCTGGCAGATGAACTCGTGTGATGTCAGGAAAGTTGAAAGCTCTAATTGTTCTCATGATCACGGATGTTGGTGATCATCAGACATCCTGACGATCTTCTCATGTTCCGCTCATGAGAACAAAAACCACAAACACGCGTGTTCCTGGATGTGTTAGAATATTCAGCTGGTCGTGGGCGGGGCACCTCACAGACATATGCAAATATGTCAGAGAGGTTTTTAACACGTAATTAATCCTTTGTGGATCGTTTGGACGATTTAATTCATTATTATAAGAACAGAACTGATTATTGAGATTTAACTGCTACTTAATCTACAAATCGCCCAAAACAAGATCTGCATTTCCTGTTTCAGTTCACCTGCGTCCTGTGTTTCAGGCAGGAAGGCGTTCATGTTCCGGGTGCAGGACCTTAGGGAGGGCGTGGTCGTCTACCATCACTCTGACAGCGACACCACGCGGGATCACGTCGTCTTCCGCATCAGCGATGGCCGTCACAGCATCAGACACAAGTTCCCCATCAACATCCTGCCCAAGGACGACTCACCGCCGTTCCTCATCAACAACGTGGCGGTGGAGGTGCAGGAGGGCGGCGCCCTGAGGCTGGAGGAGGTGATGCTGTTGGCCTCCGACCTGGACTCCAGCGACGACTACATCCTCTACCAGGTGGTCTCCTCCCCCCAGGCGGGGCAGCTGGTCCGGAAGACGTCCGCCCAAGAGGCAGGTGAGGGCGGAGTGAAAACACCAACACACACCGTCAACACCAAGAACAGTTATCTATGTGTGGGTGGAGGGAGGTCAAAGGTCACGAGTTCACTCAAGAGTAAAAACTAATCAGAGCTCGATCACAAGTTGACGTACGTTCACAAACACTTGTCTTCATCGCGCTGCGTCACTTCCTGTGCAGGAGTTCCCGTGGACAGTTTCCTGCAGCGAGACCTGCTGCAGGGTCAGATCTACTACCTGCACTCTGGAGACGAGCTGTTCGAGGACGCCTTCGACTTCACGCTGTCCGACAGCCACCAGCCGCCCAACCTCTCGCAGACATACGTGAGTCAGACAGAAGAAACACGTGAGAATAAAAGACGCTGTCCTCCCAGCAGCACACAGAAGGTTTTTATTTCTCGCCGTGTTTCCAGACGGTGGTGCTCCATGTTTTCCCGGTGAAGGACCAGCTCCCGGTGGAGGCGTCCGGCAGCGTTCGCTCTCTGACGGTGAAGGAGACGGAGGTGGTTTACATCACTCAGTCCCACCTCCACTTCACAGACAGAGAACATCCAGACACCGACCTGACCTACACCGTCACGCAGCCCTGCTTCAGCCCACTGCATCCTGGGTAAAGACGGGCAGGAAGCCTCCGGATGTAAAACGTCTCTTCAGGCTCATGGAGAAGTTTTCATTCTCCTTTTTGTTTCAGGCTGATGGACGCAGGACGTCTGTTCTACACAGACACCGCCAACGCCATGAGGAGGGACCACATGGTGCCCGTGTTAAAGTCCTTCACACAGGTTCACAGCACACGCGTGTTACTGCATCCTGACACACAAACACACACACACACACACACACACACACACACACACACACACACACACACACACACACACACACACACACA